TAAACTATGCACCCTAAACCCTAAACCCTAAGCCTTTTGAGCAGGGGCTTGGATTGTATGCCGGCAAACCCTAAACCTAAACCCTAAACCCTAAACCCCTAAACCCTAAACCCCTGAACCCTAACCTCTAAACCCCTAATAACCCTAAACCCTGAACCCTAATTACTAAAAACCCTCACACACCCTGCCTGGTTCCCCTTCCAGAGAGTGGCAACCGCAGTGCAACCGCTGGTCTCCTTATTGGCACGGTTTGCGGCTTCTGGGCTTATGTAGGGGCCTTCATAAATAGAATAGGGTTTAGGGTTTAGGGTTTAGGGTTTAGGGTTTAGAGTTTAGGGTTTAGGGGGCAATAATAAATAGAACAGGGGTTTTGAGGGGTTCCTTCTTAATTATAGGTACCCCAAACCCTATTCAAATGATTAAGGCCCCTCTGCTTCCAAGGGATCTTGGAAAGGGGTCCCTTGTCGGGTTGCTCCAAGGGCTGCTTTGAGTCTGAGACCGTAGGAGATTCGGGCTTTGGGGCTCCAGAACCTCGTTTTTTCTTGGTTCCGACTGAGGGTTTAGGGCTCAGGGCTTAGGGTTTAGGTATAATGATAGGGACAGAATCAGAAACAGCGGGTCAAGTTAGCCGGGTCAAGGTATTGTTCAGTGTTTTCAGGGGTTTTAGGGCCCCTAAACCCTAAACCCTAAACCCTTAACCCCTAATCCCTAAACCCTAAACCCCTAACTCCTAATCCCTAAACCCTAAGCCCCCTCCATGACGAGCAAGAGCTTCAACACACCGGGCGCTAAACTCAGGCAGCGTGTGACAAGCCGGCTTTCTTCTGGAATCGCGCTCAAAAGCACAAGGAAGCTAAGGTCACAACACCTTCGACAGACCATAACCCTGAAACCTACCCCTTAAACTTAAACCCTAAACCCTAAACCCCTTGCTTAATTAAATGGAAATGCCCCAAAGCTCTAGGACATCCTTGAAGCTCTTAGCCTATTAGTTGAATTCAGGAATGTTGTCGGGTCCGAGGGCACGAAAATGCCTACGCTAGCTTTTGGAGAATGTTGGGTAGTGCAGGATAGGGTTTCAGGGTTTAGGGCTTATAGGCTTCAGTGTTTCAGGCTTTCAGGTTCGAGGTCACTACGACCGACGAACTAGACACAGGGACATAAATTCAAACTATTCAGACCTCCATATTATGTTAGGCTGTGAGGCTTTTCCAGAGAATAAGGTTTTGCTTCAGGGCGCCTGTGAGTTTTCCGATGCGGGCTTTAGTTTGTTAAGGTTGAATTAACTAGTTAATTTACAAACGCCGGCAAATAAGCTGCCCCTTCCCCGCCTCAGCAAACAAAGACTTCCTTGGGGTGGGGTCTTATATTGATCATGGTCTACATTGAATTAGCTTTACCAAGAACGGCGTGAAGGGAGAATCCTCTACAGACCGCCGGGTCCTCAGCGAGATGTCAGAGGAAGGCACACTGTCAGTGAGGCGGAACGGCCACTGCAAGCACCCTAGACCTAGACAATCCTAGACAACATGTCCGAACCCGCGGTAGGGTAATATAGATGCCTTAATAATTAGAATAAGGTTTTGGGGCGCTTCATACTATACTTATAATAAGGAACCCCCCAACAAAAATATTGGGAATTATTCAGGCCCCTATAGTACGCTCCACGGAAACGAATCAGACTGAACCTCATGCGCATGACAGGAGTGTGCCGACCAAGAAAGAATCTGAACGAATTGAATAGGGCGGGCACAGAAGCATTAATCACCCTAAACCTCAATATAGGGGCCTTAATAATTAGAATAGGGTTTGGGGCATATTATACTACAATTATAATAAGGAACCCCCTCAAACCCTATTTTCATTACTAAGGCCCCTACATTAGACAGGCTTGAAGGATGTCTACAGAAAGGATCATGACAGCCCCAAACACTAGGGCGTTAAGGCCCTACCAGCTTTAGTCTTTAGTGCTTCGTAGCTCTTTTGGAGGGTTTAGGGCTTTCCGGCCATTTTAGTATCTGGGGTGTAGTACCAGCTTCTGTGGATTTAAGGGTTTACGGGTGCGTTTTAAGACCTGCCCATAAGCCCTAAAGTAGTTCCTTTTGAGGTTCATATATAGAATCCTATAAGGTAATCCCAAAAGGAACTACTGGCTCCAAGACTTGCTTGGCGTCGTTTTAGGGCCGTGCTGCTTATCCAGCTTCAGGCCCCTTCAGGCACTGAAAGCTGACTCATCCCCCCACAAACCGTACACGGAATTCGGCTCCCTAAACCTCAAAAACCCTTTGCCGCCTGAAGACTGGCAGCCCTAAGCCCTGAAACCCTGAGTGTAAACACTAGGCCCCTGAACCCTTAAACCCGATGAAGCCCCCCAACAAAAACTCAAAAAACCTACCGAAACTCTGCAAAGCCCTATAATAAACACCTCTAAGACAAAAAACAAAGGAAACCCTGTCAACCCCGTAAGTCCCGACTGCACAGGAGGCCCGAATCCTGTGCTACCTCCTTGCAGCTTGGGAGCTGTGGACCACTGATCTACCTGGGCCGTTGCCTGTAGGGCTTCAGAGTGTAGGAAGTTTAGGGCCTGAAGGTTTTGGGAGTTTAGAGTTTAGGGGTTCAGGGTTTAGGGAGTTTAGGGTGTCAGGGTCACGGGCTGCGGGCCTGTACATTCTGCGTGCTGTAAATGAGAGGAACCCCACGGAATAGTATTGGTAAGTATTCCGACCCCTGTGTCTCTGAGGGCGCCCCGATTTTATGAAAACTCCTAAACCCTAAACCCTAAACCCTCTCGAAACCCTGCCTCAGGCATGCTCTTGATCAGTTTCCGGGAACCGCACGTGTTGCAGGGACTATACTACCCAATCAGCTTGGAGGTTACATGCTGTATACCGAGCCTTAAATCGTAAACCCCGAAATCTAAACTCTACGAAAGCGTTTAATTCATGTCTTGGGGTTAGGGAAGCAGGCACCTCGACATTGAAATGCACTTCCTCGAAAGCGTGGGTCAGCACCTTCGTTATGTCGGCAGCCTGCAAGCGTAGCTCTTGGCACAGAGCTCTGCCACGATGTTGAAGGTTCTTAAAGGGAGCTCCTCTAAGAGGGGTTCCTATAATAGGGGTTTCTACAAGGGTTCAGTTCAAGATGGTTACCTCTTCAGGAGGATTCCTATAAAGGCTCCTAGAACTCATGAGCCTCCCCCCCTCCTCACGAGGATGCCGTCGAATCTGATGCAGAAGAAACCCTAAACCCTACATCCAAAAGCTGCTGTCAAGGTCTCCTAAGCTTTCGGAGAGCACTGCGGCTCGAGTCAACAAGTACTGTGGTAGAATCACAGTAAGGAACCCTCAGGAATAGGGTTTGGTACATCTTACTTCAAAGAAGCTGTGACTGCGATGTGCCTGATCTATTGCTTTAACGTCCTGCCAGCACCACCCGCGAAGGCTACCAACCATTGATTTCAGCTGTACGATGAACTGGCTTGTACTTGTCAATCTGTGGTTTGTCTATGTTTGTGTTGTGGCCTCGGCGGGAGTTTCGGGCGGGCTTCGGCATCGCCGTTGAACAGTTGTTATGCGACATGAGGGACCCATTGTGTCACACCAGTCGCTATGTCTAGCCGCTATGTGCTTTCAGCATGCAGGGCAGGCACTGCCTGAATCGCTTTGTAGCGGCTGCAAGCCTTGATCCGAAACATAACTTTGGGAAACCTGGCCGGTGGAGTGGGAAGTGCCCACCAAACACCCTGTCCCAAGCCGATGAAGCCCAGCATGCAGCTGGCCTCGAAATTGCTGAGGGCGACGAGATACCTGAGCCGGCTAGCTCCAGCGAGCGTCAACACGGAAATATGCAGAAGCTCCAAATTCACAGATCCTAAACCCTGACAGCATCAAAACTCAAAAACCTAAACGGCCCAAGACCCAAACACTGCAAGGCATGGCCTGCTAAGGTATTCGGGCCTCAGGGCAGAGCTGCAGGATCAGCGAGAACACAGGTCATAAAACATTGGCACACATCTCCATCTGTCTGTCTGTCTGTCGCGCGTGTGTGTGTGTGTGTGTGTGTGTGCGTGTGTGTGTGTGTGTGCGTGCGTGCGTGGGGGTGTGTGTGCGTGTGTGTGTGTGTACAATAGTGTGTGTTCGCCCACTGCTCGGTGCAAACAACCCTCCAAGAAACTGGCGACAAATCAATCGCGACCGTCAATTTGGTGCAAAGCCAGCTAGGCGTGGATTCGAACCAGCACGACATCTCCGTAATGGCGGAGGCTGCAGTCACCCGGATCTATCGGACTGTCCTGCAGCTTTGCTAATCCAGGAGTAGGAGGCGAAATCAGCCAAGCCGAGCAAGTTCAAGACTGGATAACAGAACGTGCACACTGAAGCCATGTTGCGGCAGGCTTTGGACGGCTGTCGTTGCCACGAGCTGGCCAAACGGACCGTGCCCATCCATGCAGCACCTTAGCTGATTCATGCGCCTCATCAGCTCCTTCAATCTGGCCCCGATTCAGGATTTCGTTGCTAGGCACTTGGTGCAGTAATTTCCTTCGGAACGACGCTCTCTTGGAACGCGCTGATGCAGAACGACCCTCATGTTCCCGGCTCTTCACTGTCATGATCCATCACAGTATGCCACAACATGCAGGATACTTCTGACGAGGGACAGCATCCTCCAGCCGTTCCTCGGATCATAGAACCGACGCATGTGTTTCAGGAGCAGAATGGCAAACTGGCAAATTTTGGGGGTTGCGCCGGTGGGCACAGAAAGACATACACCTGCATTAGATTCATGCTACTGTTCAATACACTTGGACTCCAGTACAAGTTATAAGGTTTCGGTATTGTAGTAGAGCAGACTCCCCGTATCCACACGCCAAGGATTCCGATGGCAAAAAGCGGAAACAAGCGCTCCATGACGCTATGATGTGGTCCCGGCATCTGTGGGCGGCGATATGCAATGAAATGCACATGCCCCAGGAAGCAAGGAAGCATGCATTTCTCACAAAGGCTCACACATTTGATAAATGGTAGCACCGTAGGCGTAACATCCTTATGGCACATCAAGAAGTTGGTCCGGTCCAAGCTATAGTGGTAGCAATAATGCTATCTTGATGACAGCAATACTTGCATTATTAGTAGTAACGAAAGCAATAAACACAATAACAATGACAATAAGAGTCATAATGGTAATCCGAATAACCCATCATAGGAATACCAGTAATGATGACCAGGAGTCTTGAAGTGGGCCATGGAGAAATTGTCTTGGTTGGGTGTGTTGTCCACGGCGCCCTGCGAATGAGCACAGGGGCAAGCATGTAGACAGCTATTCGCGCGATTGCGAGAAGGCGCTCGAGGCACTCGATCGTCGTCATCAGGCAGAGTCAAAACTGCAGCCAAAGAAGGCAGTCTTTTTGATGCGCGGAATCCGAAGAATGATTTCCCAATCATTAGCATCATCAAAGCCGGTACTATGGCCACCACCGCTGGCAAATGCCATCAATGCTGCCAACAACTCGATAAAACTCCCCATGGTCATCAACTTTAGCATCGGTATTCTCTTGCGCATCACGGTTTTCGAATTTCGAACATCCAACCTGACCCAATTCAACCACCCAAACGTCACAAAAGTCGCGCTCTGCATCACTCGATCCTCCACCTGCCAACCCCTTAGTGTCTAAAGGACCTGATGATCAGGTACTTTGGGCTTAGGGTAGTAGTTTTGTAGGTTATTCTTATTCTTTGAGGTAAAGGAACCTGTGGTACCTAGGACCCTTGCGGAACTCGAAGCGACGGCGCCTTGTGGCCTTTCCGACAGGTGTAAGCCAAGCGCTTCATTTCTGCGTCCGTGAGGGCTCCATACCTTTGCCAGAGACGTGCCTTCTGAATTAGATCCCACCTGTCACCCATGACCTTATAGGACCGTAGTCTCTGACTCGAACGGGCAAAGTAGGCATTGCGAGGTCAGAACTGTTCATCTATGACATGATCTTAAGCCTTTGGCGGCGTCGACAAAGACCGACCGCCCACAAGACTACACACAGGACCTCAGGACCGAAACATCACGCTCTATTCGGCACAAAGGCAGATGCACGAATCAGGGTTTCGAACCATGAAACACTGAAAAGTACGGCTTTGCCTCTGAGCCTGCAGAGCTCAAGGATTCTGATCCCGAGGTATCACAAGCAAGACACAAGAAGCAAACCCCAAACCCCAAACCTAAGCTCGGCAAGCTGAGAAAGCATCTGCCAAGAGGCCACTCCAGTTCCTCAGCTCTAGGCTGAAGGTGAAGTCATCAACATTCTACAAGAGACCCGAGCGTGTTGCCGCCTGTTTGTCTCTGCTTCTCGCGCACACATCTGCAAGCCGCTTGCAAATGCTGCTGTCGCGGCGTCGCGCATTCAAGCCAGGCCGACAGCCAGGTAAAACATTCAGAGCTACGGTCGCTCGTACTACCACATGACACGTCTGTAGCTCCCGTCATCATATCGGGAGTGTGTTCAGCTGGCTTCAGGAGGGGCAGAGCAGGTTCGGATGCTGCAGCTACGACAAATCGAACTGACACTGTGCCACCACTGCAGGAAAGGGTGCCCTTTCGATACCAGGCGTGTTGGAGCCAGTCAGCGTGCCGTAGACGAAGCCTTGGAAAGAAGCCCATGTTACACAGATTGAAAAGCGTCTGCCCACAACACTCTGCAGTACTACGCCACAGGTGACTCGCAGAAGGCCAGCGGCAGAAGTACGTGATGGCAGCAGCAGGGGTTCACGAAGTATTGCGAGGTCCTGCTTGGTTCAAAGAAGTATCAAAATTAGGCCTGCCTTCGAGGCTTCAGGTTTGAGAGGGCTCCGGAAATTTGGGCCCAAGGCCTTCCGACGGCCAAGAGGCAGAATGTGTGGTCTTCCCAGCACTTCCGGTAATCTTGCTGCGCGATCTTGCCACGAGGCCTTACTGGTGGGTCCCGGCTGTATTCTAGGATGCATTCTGGGTTGCAGGCTGCGAGACTTTCCCCACATTGTGCAGCCCTTACCTACACTCTATTGTGCCGATTAGTATAAAGGTCCACTCGAGTGTCAAACGCTTCAGGTGCCGGCAAGTACGGATTCTTCAGAGTGGATTCACGCCCTGAATAGATGCAATTTGGATCTCTAGCATATGGGCACCTGGATGCATCAAAACATCCTCACAGTTTGACTTCAAACTTGTCTTAGCCCACCGGAAGGCTCCAAGCATAATTTAGGGGCCTTAACAAATGAATAGGGTTTTTGGGGGGGTTCCTTGTTATAGTGATAGTATAATATACCCCCAACCCTATTCGAATTATGAAGGCCCCTAAATTTGAAAGGCTGAGCCCTAGACATCACGATAGGCTTAGGGTCTGCTTGATCTGCTTATGTGCCAACAGGCCTGTTGAAGCACTTTGCAAGCCTCAAGCTCGAGAGCACTCTAGACCCCATAGATACGTGTAGCTATCATGTAGCATTATATTATATAACCCCAGGCCCTGAACTCCAAATCCGCGAGACCACCAGCCCTACATCAACTTTAATTTAACCCCCCAACAGAAGCTCCCCAAAACAAAAAACCTTAGTTAACCCTAAACCCCCAACCCGAGCCAAAGGGCAAGTTCGGGAGTGGCGCAGCAGCCGGTGGTGGGGAAGCTTTCGGAGGTTCTGCGCCTTTCAAGCATACCCCCGCCATAAGCTACCATAACCGACTTGTTTGGCGGGTGTCGCCACTTGTCGTTGAAGTTCTTCGGATTTCGGGTTTGTGGCTTTCGCTCCTGCGATGGAGGGCGGAGGGCTTGTTGTTGAGGGTCTTCTGACGACCAGTAACTGCGCTTGCAACAACACGCTGGATAAACGCCGTCAAAAGCAGAGTAAACAGGATTTGAGCTGAGGGGACTGAAGTCATGTGCCGTTCTCATGAATGAACTGCTCGGAAAATGGAACTCGATTACTGCATTGCTTGTGCAGGGCTCCTTCGATCAATCCACCGCTTCTGAACCTACTCCTGTAGATGAGGCCGTACGCATAACAAC